AGATTGAGTGACCCTCACAGTTGTTTCATTCGTCTCGTATGTTTCCCTTCTACCACCCCTCCAAGGTCGCGAGCATGTCAACGCGTTCGGACAGAGGCAGACGTCGAAAAAGAGGAGAAAGTCGCGGACAGCCTTCACGAACCACCAGATTTACGAGCTGGAGAAGAGGTTTTTGTACCAGAAGTACCTCTCTCCGGCCGACCGCGACCAGATCGCGCAGCAGCTGGGGCTCTCCAACGCGCAGGTCATCACCTGGTTTCAGAACCGCAGGGCCAAACTCAAGCGGGACCTGGAGGAGATGAAAGCGGACGTGGAGTCGCTAAAGAAAATCAACCCGCAGACGCTGCAGAAGCTCGTCAGCATGGAGAGCATTGAGGAGGGTGGGGGCCCCGAGGCCAGGTCGCCCAGTGTCTCCCCGACCTCCCAAGGACACCGGGCCTTCCCACAGTCCCCCTCCTCATCCAGAGACCAAACTACGGATGAATTCTCGGAGGACGAAGAGGAAATCGAGGTGGACGATTGACAGTCAGGGGGCCTGTGTTTTTCAGAAGCAACAACTAAAAAGAATATTAAAAAAGGGGACATTTTTTTCTTCCCAAACTTTTTTGCACGGATATGAACAAAAAAAGGAGAATATATACATTTAAAAACATTTCAAGATATTTTTTGCCTCTCCTCTTTTTTTTCTCAATCTAATTTATTTATCGGACTTGTAAATCCTTCCAAGTCTGTCGTTTAGGTTTCTCCACCGTATTTGAGGAATATCTGGTTTCCTTTCAGACAACCCAAACTGTTATGGTACAGTAAGACTGAAAATAGTGTGAACATTTTTTTTTTTCACGCCCGTTTTTACGTGGGGGGATGGAAAGTTGTGCAATTATTATTGCTTGTCATTTATTCATATTCTTCTGTTAAATGAATCGGATCTGCCAAATATTTAAACCACCCTTTGTTTGTACATGCACAGCCCGGGCTCGATGTGTCACTCCATCCCTCCTGAAGTGTACAATTATTATTAGTCTTCTTCTTTCTGAGCGAAGAGTGTTTCTGCAAGCATGCAGGCCTGTTCGCAGCGCAAAGGACGCATCACTTATCATCGACTGCACACTTTTACACTCTCTGAGTTCTGTACATAGATCAAACATCCATATCCCATAATTTTATTGTAACATTCTATTTAATCAGCATCTATGTAAATAAAGGTTATATGATATTTCAAGGAGCTCTCGGCATGATTGCCTGTGTGATTGTGCATAAACTTATAAAATAATACCCCAAATTAAAAATGAAGGATGACACAGGAAGGAATAATATTACACCGCAATGAATGCCACTTAAGGGGCAGTTAATATCGTAGAAGGTAACAGACAATATGAAGAACATGCACTATATCCATAACGACATATTATATATAAAAATGGCCCGTAAACTCCACATGCATTCTACAGGAATGCTGTAGAGAAAGTCACATAAAGTGACTTTTATAAGAATATAATAACATAATAGCATCGGGATTTGTCCTGAAAGATTAAGCATAAACTTAAAATATGCACACCCCTTCTCAAAAGAAATCTGCTCCGCTTGGTAAAAACTGACCCTGTTGAATTACTGACCCCTGCTTTCAGCCTGGAAGTGCCGGGACTTCAATTAGCTGCCTTTATTCCCATTCTTTCGGCCGGCTTTGAATGCATCTTGTCACAAGAAGGTCCCGGTCTGGCTGCGGTGTTAAGAAAAGCTTGCGCCCAGCCCCTGCGCCATATGTTTTCTTCCTCCTCCTATGAATCGTCTTTAACACAACTAGTCGACATGATTGATTAGCTTAACCCGCCTTTGCCTTACATAAAACAGCTTCCACCGGGCCGCGGGCAATAATGGACACGCATCTGCCAATCTGGACCCGGGTTTGTTTGGAGAGAGAGAGAAGTCTCCCATGAATAGCAAATGGCTTAGTGTGAGGGTCCTAATGAATAAAGCTCAATGGGAGGCAGTGGAAATACGGCGTGCTGCTGCTGTTGGCCGACCATTTGTAACAGTTTGGTGTGTGTGTGTGTGTGTGTGCGCGCGTGCGCGTAAGGGAGGGGAGAGATGTGGTGTCGTAGTTATTCGACAATACATTTATACTAAAACAAGAGTATGTATGGTGTTCACTATAAACCGGTCTGCAGGACACAGATTAGCTCCTTTTGTGCGCGACTCAAGTGTCATGTTACCCATCGAGTTCATTTTATTCTTCATTTGGAGAGTTGGACACCGTTATTATTTCATTTGGAAGTATAGGCTCATTAGTCTGAAGTTGTGGATATTCAAGGGAGAAAACAAATCTAAATGTTCGGCTTCAAAGCGTTGAAATGTATTTTATGAGCAGGTTTTTTTTTTTTTAATTTAATCTCTGAATTTCTCTTATTATTAAAATAAATATAAACTCCTACAATCTTAATAAACTTGCAAGTTAGAAGGCCGATCGAAACGATATTTTAAATCAGTTTCGCAAAGGAAACATGAAATCAGGCCCTCTCTCTGCCACATATACGGTTAAAAAGAAATCAAGACAGACTTTGAGACCTAAAGGGAACTAAAGGGCTCGTTAGGACAGACTTTTCTTCTTCTTTTTTGGGGGCGAGTAGAAAAACAGGCTGGTGCACACAATAGAAGTAATCGGCTGGAATCGTGGAGGTTGAAAAGTCAAGTAGGCCTTTTATTATGGAGCCACTCTGCACCGGCAGGAGGGACACCATTTAAATACAAGTCAGTGGACAAACGGGAGAAGTCCTGATTCAACTGCATCAACTATATTATATTTATAACATTTAATTTAGATATTGCAAAAATACTAAAATTATTTATTCATTGACATTTCAATAGTTTTCAGGTTGTATTCTATTCTTTCATTTTGAAATTTAAAATTGGAAAGCATTTAAACAACTTAATATTAAACACGGTTGACTATTATCTTTATTATTTTCATTTCTCACATTGAGTGACTGCATCAACATTTCACCCTCACAGCTGACTCCTTAGATCTCAGGTGAATCACACAAACAAGATCTCCAAAACAGGGCTCCCTTTGTTTGGGGGGGGGGG